AGATAATCTGTCAAAAACCTGCTTGCACTGATAAAGAACTTTGGCAAAGTCCTGGGGTACAAAATAAATGTGCAAAAGACAGTTGCATTCTTATACACCAACAACAAGCAAGCAGAGAACCAAATAAAAAGCACAATCACATTCACAATAGCCATACACATTTACAAAAAGAAATACCTCGGCATCTTCCTAATCAGAGAAGTGAAAGACATTTACAAAGAGAACTACAAACCACTGCTCAAAGAAATCCAAGAAGACACAAACAAATGGAAAAATATGCCATGCTCATGGATAGGAAGAATCAAAATTGTTAAGATGTCCATCCCACCAAAGGCAATCTCACATTCAACCCAACACCCATTAAATTACCAACATCATTCTTCTCAGACCTGGAAATAACAATACAGAAATTCATATGGAAACATAAACGATCATAAATAGTCAAAATAACCCTTTGCAAAATAAACAAAGCAAGAGGTATCACACTTCCAGACTTCAAACTTCACTATAAGGCTTCAGTAATCTAAACAGCCTGGTATTGGTACAAGAACAGGCACATAGACCAATGGAATAGGATAGAGATTCCAGAAGCAAAGTCTCAATTTCTCAACCAACTCATTTTTGACGAAGCCTCCACCACCAACCACTGGGGAGAGGAGAATCTAACTGGCTGACCACATGCAGAAGATTGAAACAGGACCCCTACCTATCACCATACACACAAATTAACTCTAAATGGATCAAAGACCTAAACGTAAAACCTCAAACAATAAGAATCTTAGAAAATGCAGGAGACACTCTTATGGAAATTGGAACTGGCAATCAATTCCTGATCAAAACCCTAAGTGTCCATATCATAAGAAATAAGATAGACAAGTGGTACCTCATATAACTGATAAGCTTCTGCAAAGCAAAAGAAACCATCAAGAGAACAGGGAGACAGCCCACAGAATGGGAAAAAATATTTGTCAACGGTATATCTGACAAAGGCCTAATATCTAGGATCTCAAATGCGCCAAAAAGAAAAAAAAAAACAAACAGCCACATAAAAAGTGAGCAAAAAACATGAAAAGATACTTCTCAAAAGAAGATATACGGGAGCCAACAGACACATGAAAAAGTACTCAGCCTCACTCATCATTAGAGAAATGCAAACCAAAACCACATTGAGATACCACCTAACCCCAGTAAGAATGGTCATCATTAATAAAACAAACAACAACAGATGCTGACGAGGATGTGGAGAAAAAGGAATGCTTCTACAATGTTGGTGGGAATGCAAACTAGTGCAACCTCTTTGGAAGACAGTGTGGCGATTTCTAAAAGAACTAGAAATTGACCTTCCATATGACCCAGGAATCCCCCTATTGGGAATATACCTGAAGGAACTCAAATCATTCTACAAAAAAGATACCTGCTCATGCATGTTTGTTGCAGCTCTATTCACAACAGCAAAAAACACGGAACCAACCATGCTGCCTATTGAAGCTAAACTGGATAAAAAAAGTGGTACATATACACAATGGAATTTTATGCAGCTATAAAGAAGGACAAACATAGGGACTTCGCAGCAACTTGGATGGATTTAGAGTCTATCACATTCAGTGATCTACCACAGAAACAAAGAATAGAGTACCATATGTTCTCACTCATAGATGGACCTTGAACAATTACCATAATACTGTAAGAAAGGGATTGGCAGTAGGGGGAAACTGACAGGGGAGGGGGTGGGATTGGCAGTTGAGGGAAACTGCCAGGGAAAGGAGCAACACACCTCATCAACAAAGGTACCTGCATAATCAACATTTGTATACCTAACCCTGAATTGTACCCTACATCTTTAAAAAAATTGAAGATTAAATCCTAAAGGGCTCCATGCTCTGTCTACAGATCATTAAAAGCTTTATATATAGTCTTCAATTCAGAACAACTTTTCCTCATGAAGCGGCCATTTCACAGCCAGCTGTCTGCAGAGTGCAGTGTGGTCAACTCCCCAACAAGCCTTCCACCTTGCCCCTTTTATGGTTGTCAGCAGCCACAATTCCACTAAGGTGGCCCATCATGGTAATCTCATTTTTTCTTGCTAGTGTAGCTTATTCTGTGCTCAAATAGCAAAGGAATTGGATCAACAGTAAACATGTGACAAAATTATGGCCAATAAAATCAAAGGACAAGTTAATTGAGGAATTGGGGGGGGCAGTTTTTTTGTCCTTCTCAGAAAGAGTGTTTTCAGGAGTTAGATATTTTTTTTGGATACTGTGGAAGTGCACTCTGGAATTCCACCACCATGACAGAAGCCAGTCTCAGAATAAAGTTGATCCCACACAAGATAAATAGAAACAAATCAGTTTTGGGTTCTGTCTTGAGATGGACCTTCCTATGTGAGACAATCAAGCCAGTTTCTCTTTCAAGTGTATTTGAGCAAATTTTCTGGTACTTGAAACACACATAGGAACCCTAATTGACATATCATTTCTTTTGTTTTTATTTAATTTCCTATTTTTCTAACAATGCACAAACATTTCCATGTACTATTGTGATCGTATCTCAATGTCAGATCATTTAGATCCTATCTCACTAGATCAGATACTTTAGAAGGAATGAACTCTCACAGCTACTTTATGACAGCCACTGAATTGGGGGCTCACAGACACTGTAAGAGATTATGTGAAACATCTTTGAAACATATAATGCATGCCAATGATAAACAACAATAATTTCTCCTTCATTCTAGTACATGAGTAAAGTCTTTGGTCCACTTATTTTTGTTAACTGTGAGTCCATTGCTTGAACTAACCAAACAGACAAAATAGCTTGAGATTTCTCTTCCAAGACTGCTTAGGCTCCTAGGGAGTTACTTGGTACACACGACTCTCCAGTGGCATTCTATTACTGATGCATTGAGCCAAACAAAGCTATATGATTTCCAAGACCTTTCATAGTCTGGGTCCTGCCTCCTCTCCCTGCATGTTATCGGCATTCGCCCCATGCACTCGCCGTTCCAAACGCTTCACAACGCTGCTCCAGACCACCAGATCCATCTTAAATTTTGCATCTGTGCTGTTTGGTCAAGTCCTTCCCTCACCTCTGCAAGAATGAAGCTCTTTTCTCTGCATAAGCTCTACAAGCATTCGGCTTTTTGGTCCTGATTATGCATTCTGGGCACTCACCCGTAATGCTTCAGTTTTTCTCTGTAATTGGTTGCCAGACCTGAAGGGCAGAGATTGAGGTTTATTTCTCTTGTAACCCCCCTAAAGCTTCAAAGTATTGTGTAGCAGAGTAGATATTAAATAAATACTAGCTTAATAAATTAACCATGATTTTACTATTTTTCTTACAGAATCTGTTGCACAGATGTAGAATAAAGATTTGAGATGACTAGATTGGCCCAGGTTTGCCAGATTTAGAAATAAAAATATATGATGCCCAGTTAAATTTGAATTTCATGTAAATTTTTTTAAAAAACCCTATTTTCAGTGTAACTATATTCCATGGAAAATTTGGGACATAACTATGCAAAAATATTGTGCTTTTAAAAATCTAAAACTAAAATCTAACTGGGTGCCCTCTTTTTTCTTCTGGCAATCCTAGATTGGTCTGACTTAAAAAACACAAATAACTTGTGCTTATTTTTCTAAATTAGGATGAAACACCACAGCTATGTCTTTTTTAACCTTATATGCGCTTACTTATCAAGTCCTGTAGCAAGTGAACTTCTTTGCACTACTCCACCAATCAGAGACAACAGAGACTCAGTATCCATTATGTGAATTCACCATGCGTGCCCATGTGCAGGGAGGCAAAGATGAGCAAGGTGCCACAAGTGACCTCAAGCAGCACCTCATCTGGTCAGAGAGACAGCCCAATTCAGTCCAGTGTCTACCTGAGTCCAGTCCTGGTACTACTCTATGTGGCCAATGTTTTGGGGGCCTGATCCAGCCCTCCTGAAGAAAGATCCCAGAAGATGCTATACAGTTAGGTTGTCAAAAATATATTGTTTGTTAAATACATATTACATAGTTGCTAACTTTAAGGTGCTTTGTAAACATCATAATTCAAATAATCCTAAATTCAAATAATTATTTATAATTTGTTATGATCAGCACATTGTAGTCTTTGATAATGAAGTTCTGATAATGAAGTTCAAATTTTTATTGTAGAAGATTCTTTTTCTGGTTACTGAATATGTAATAACTTTTTTTAGCACAAGCAATGAAAATTAAGTGCGTGATAATTTTTTTTCCCTCTCAACTGCAAAAATCCTTTGCAGGTAATTGTCAAGCTGACCACTTAATCTGAGTCACTTATTTAGGTGACTGTTAGGATCTCCCAGTTTAGATTTTGAATCTCTCCATTTTCTGTAATGGAGAACAAGGAGATCTGGTTTTCTTTGAGTAGCATAATGTTATAATGGCAGTGTTTGCATGTCTGTGAAAAGTTTGCTAGTTAAAAGTTTTAGTAAGCTATTTTTACTAGCTATATGCTGTACAAATTCAGTGATATATGTAATAGTAAAATATTTAAAATCCAGGAGCAAAAACATATATTCATACTACCATAATAGTATTGATGTATGCAAAAGCATTTCTTAGACTTAGAATTCAAAATTCAAGGTTTTAAAATAATGCGACCTTAGCATATAACATGTACAATTTCAGCTCTAGAATAGAGTGTCATATTTTTCCTTTCTTTTCTCACCATAGTTATTGATCTCAATCCTCTAATCTATATTTTGTGGATGTCATTTTAAATGAAAATAACTAGGTATAATCCCTAAAATGATGATTTCCACAGAGTTCAATTTGTCATTAATATATCACATGAAGTTACAAATTGAGTGATATTAAAAGGTAATGAGACTATTGGGGAAGTTATATTAATTTCAGTGATTTGTCAATTACCCTGATAGAGAGCGACAATTAACACTGGCATTATGATCAAGTCTTTGACAATTATGAAACACCCATTTACGATGTATATTTTACATTGTCAAAAATTACCTTGGGTAGTTCTTCAATCTGATTGGCATCTAGGTAAAGCTCCTCTAATGTCCGTTCAAAGTTAAACACTTCCTTTGGCACCTGCTGAAGACTGCAGTGGGAGTAATCTAAAACTGAGATGATTTCTTCTTCACCTCGGAAACATCGGCACGGCACCAGACGGCCGATGATTTTCCGTTTGGTGGTCATCTCCAGGCACTGCACTAGAGAAAAACAGAAAATAACTGCTTAGTTGATTGCCCTTGAAGGTATTCTTATAATATTTAAAGTCTAGAAATTTAGTTTTGGAATATATTTCACAATTTCATAATGCTTTAAAGTTTATATAGGACACATGCTTGCATTATATCACTGAATCCTTAAACAGCTCTGCAAGGTATGTGAAATAGGCTTGATTCTCATCTAACAAATTAAAAAATGGACCCAAAGAGGTTAAGTGACTGACTATCATCACATAGCTTTGGAACAGCAGAATCGGACCAGAATGCAACCTCAGTTCAATGCCATTATGCTTATACTCTCACTTGAAAAGTGGATCTCTAATGTGAGTTTCATATTACACAAATTAAAGTCAGAATAGAAAACTTCAGAATTTGTTGAAAAAGACAATTCCCCCATTTCTGCAAAAATATGCAAGTTCACCCCCAAATTGTATAATGTCCTCTTTTTAACCCCAAATTAATTCCATCAGTAAGCAGACATTTAGTGAGTCACCACTATGTTCAAGACACTGACCTACATACTGGGAGTAGACTGATGAACGAAAGACCTTGTTTTCACGGAGTTTATGTTCTATCGGGGCTACGGATTATAATTAGATTGGTTATTCACTTACAATTGGGGGTCTATCTTTATGAATCCTGTGATTTTCTTTTTTTTATAATCAATATTTTTTATTATGATGTTGTGGGGTACAGTTAAGGGTTAGTTATATAAATACGTTTCATTCAGTCACCCTGTTGATAAGAGGTGCTTCCCCGTCCCAAGACAGATCATTTGCTACCGTTAATCCCATCTCCTCCCCACCCCATAGTTTCCCACTACTGTCAGTCATTTTCCTATAGTATTACATTGGATGTTCAAGGTCCATTATATGAGTGAGAACATGTGATACTCGGATCTTTGTTTCTGTGAGAGGTCACTCAGTATTATAGACTCTAGTTCCATTCAGGTTGCTGCGAAATTCATGATTTTGTTCTTTTTTATGGCTGTGTAGTATTCCATCATGTATATGTACCACATTTTTTAAATCCAGTCCTCTTTTGATGGGCAGCATGGTTGCTTCCAG